CCAAGTCTCATGCCCTGAGTAATTCTGCGTCATAGTGATAGATTGCCGTGGATTCTTGAGTATTGGGGGTTACTTTTCTTCCTTGGGATCAAATTACATACCCCAAATTAACATTGTCCATTCTATTAAGTTCTTTTAAAAAAAGTTGTTAATAATTTACTTCCACCTTGTGAAGCAAGAATGGGTGATAAAGCGATAAAGACTTCTTGACTAGCAGTCTCACTCAGTTCCTGTCTCCGAAGCGTGTCTTCGAAGCTGCCTTAATACGCTTCTGAGGTTATCCAGAACCTTTCCCACTTAATACAGAATAGCAAGCAAATCACTTTCTTCAGGGAATTGTTTGTCTTTAGTAGTTATTTTGTAGCTAGGTGGGACAGATTTTTCTCAGAACTCCTACAGGATATGAGTCATTTGCATTCACTCGTTGACCTATTCTCACTTTGTTCTTACGGAGGAGAGTGTTAACACGGCAGCCCGCATTACATAACACAGGGCATACATTGTCATTTCTGGGCTCGGCAGCATTCTCAGTCTGATAAACTTGAGAACTCGAGTAGCTATTCTGAACATCTCATGTACATTCAAATAAACAACTACATTATCGATACATCCAAGAAAATGTTATTGGCCTTTTGCCTAAATTGGCTGATGTCTTTGGATACTGGGGGAGAGCATGGAATAGGGGATAACAATGTGCAGGTGGCAACACCTAAGCCTGTTCGTGAATCTGCTTAAAAATTGTACGGTGGGGACCAGCAGGTGGTGTGGTGGTTGGGGTACTGGACCCCACATAGCTGACCGTGGTTTGAGTCCCAGATGTGGCAGCTTGCTTTCTCATCCCCTCTTCCCCATCTCGGTCTCCTTCTGGCCAAATTTAAAAATAATAATAAATAATTCTTTACAAAAAGAATTATTTACACAACAAACTATCACAACTTTCTATTTGGTTCTCTAAATTATTTTAAAATTTAATTTTAAAATGTTATTTTAAAGAATGATGCAAGCACTTAGTTGACATTTAAAAATTAATCAGAAGGGAGGCCTGCAGGTGGTATGGTGAAGGCCACTGGACTCCCACATGGCCGACCATGGTTCGAGTCCTGGACTTAGTGGCTTGCTTTCTCACTTTTTCCCTATCTTTCTCTTTCTCTCACACTCTGTTCTTTTCTGGTCAAATTAAAATAAATCAGGACCAGCAGTTGGCATAATAGCCATGTCACTGGACTCCCATGTAGTCGACCGTGGTTCAAGTCCCATACCCAGTGGCTTAAACTCACGCTGGGTGTGTGTGTGTGTGTGTGTGTGTGTGTGCCCAAGATCCCGAGAGGAGAAAGGAGGAGAAGGATTGCGGCGTGGCCATGCCCACTGGGTGGTGATTTCTCGCTTTCTGTCTCTCTGTCTGTCTCTATCTTTCTGGCGAGCGCACACACCCTATAGCAAAAACCTCTCCAAAAAATAGAAAGAAAGAAAGGAAGGAAGGAAGGATGGATGGATCCAGTGGGTGGTGCAGTGGTTGGGTTGCTGGACTCCCACATGGCCAACAACGGTATGAGTCCTGGACCCGGCAACTTAAAACTCACTCTGTGTGTGTGTATGTATGCATGTGGTCAAATCCCAAGAGAATGGAATCCATCCCTGGGGGATGAGGGGTGATTTCTTATTTTCTCTCTGTCTCTCTCTCTCTCCTGCGAGTGCACGCTTCCTGTAGCAAATCTCTCTTTAAAAAAAAAACATCAGAAATGCCAGTAATTGAAAATATATTAGATTGTTTGTGGGAGACTAATTCTTGGTAAATGTATGGGTTACAAGAAACAGTTGATGATGGTGCTGATAAATTCTGAATTACCTCTTCTCACACTGAGAAAGAGACATGGCTCTATGCTGTGGTAGTTCATGGTAGATGGGTTGTACTTGGATTCTGGAGCCCATTAAGAAAGAAGACATAAGGTACAGGTGTGAATTTTAAAAAAAGGAAGGGAGGAAAGAAGGTGGGAAAGTATAGAAGAGAAGGTGAACTTCCTTCCGTTGGGAGAGACTGATCCCAAGTCCATCTGCAGGTATTGTCTCTCAGGCCGTGGTCAGCCCACCTTCACTGAAACAGAAGATGAAAAAGTATGTTGGCTTTAGATTTTGCTATAGCTCTTTAAAAATGTTCTGCCCTTTCGTGTAAACAAATTCTAATCTCTCTAAATATAGCAAGCCATCAAAAGGAAATAGCTTTGTACCCTGTTATTTCTGAGACTTGCTGTGGAAACTGCTCCGAAAGCAGCTCGAGCTATGACTGAGTAAATGCTACAGATGCAGGCAAACATGATACCTCCCTCATTCTTCTGAAGTAGACGACTCATGTTTTTGTAATCTCAAGAAGAACTGAGCATTCTCACATGGATATGTTTCATACTTGACCAAGTGTGTGTTCTCTGCATCCTGCTTGCTGACGGGCTGGTGCTGGTGTTAGCCTGGTGAGTGGTCTGTCTCGGGGAGATCGCTCTTACCTCTGGTACCCCTTCCTGTTTCTTTACCCAGTTATGCTGTTATTGCCTATGGCTGTGCCAGCTGCCCAAAGCTAACCTGTGAGAGAGAAGGCTGCCAGACTGAGTTCTGCTACCACTGCAAGCAAATATGGCATCCGAACCAGACGTGCGACATGGCCCGGCAGCAGAGGGCGCAGACTCTGCGAGTTCGGACCAAGCACACTTCAGGTCTCAGTTATGGGCAAGAATCTGGACCAGGTATGAGTTGGCACTATCTCATTGTCTCTTTGTGTGGTATTTTATGATGTAAACCAAAAGCTGGAAGAGATTATCTTACTATATAACCCAACTATTTCCTGGGATCGGGGGCAGAAAATAGCATTTGGTAATACTTTCAATATTACATTTGATTTGTAGCTTCCCTCTCTGACCATTATATTGAGTTGTCAGAAAAGTCATGATGTATTTTTTCCGAGTTTTTATATGCAAAAATGCGTCATGACTTTTCTGACAACCCAATAGTTCATCCAACCCACATGAAATTAGAATACAACAAAGCTGAATTCTCTAGTTTCTACCTTCTTAGTAATAGGTCTCCAATTGTAGAACAATCTGTAGAAAGTTAGCTCCTTTTGCCAAAGTGGTTTTTCCAAAACTTTATTGGGCCAGCTGGTGGTGTGGAAGTTAAGGTGGCTGAATCCCACATGGCTGACTCTGCAGTCAGTCTCAGACCTGTTAGCTTGAAAAACTCACCGAGCATGTGAATGCCCAAAATCCCTAGAGGAGAATGGAGGAGAAGGGATTGCAGCGTGGCCATACCCCCTGGGGGATGATTTCTCAGTTTCTGTCTCTGTTTGGTGAATGTGCATACCCTATAGCAAGACCAAGAAAAAAAACTTTATCAGGACCAACAGTTAGCGTAATGGCTATGTCGCTGGACTCCCATGTAGTTGACCACGGTTTGTGTCCCAGGCCTGGCGGCTTAAACTCACAACGGGCGTGTGTGCGTGCGTGCCCAAGATCCCAAGAGGAGAATGGAGGAGAAGGGATTGCGGCGTGACCATCCCCCCCGGGGGGTGATTTCTAGCTTTCTGTCTCTCTGTCTCTCTCTGTCTGTCTGGCGAGCGCATGCGTCCTATAGCAAAAACCTCTTCAAAAAAAAAAAAACTTTATCATGAGCAGAAGGACATTTCATTCATTTTAAACCTACACTAGGTGCCTTCTAGCTTTGAGTGCATCATTTCTTTTGGAAAGAGTACAGATTCAAGAAAAGGAAGGATTGTTAGTATGGATTGCTGATTAACCTTAAAAGGAGGAATGGCACACATTCCGCTCCAACCTTGACAAGTGTAAAATGTCAGTAGCTTCATTGCCTTTCATACATGTACTTCATGTCACCGGTGTCACTTGGGAGAGACTAGTTGGAAAGGCTTTGCCATTCATTCTTTTCTGGCACAACATAATTCCTACATTGTCTTTTACTGTTTTTTGGTTTTTTTATTGTTGTTTTTGCTGTAGGGCACGTGTGCTTGCTGGAGAGACAGAGAGGGAAAGTGAGAAATCACCCCTGAGGGAAGATGGCCACACCACAATCCTTTTTTCATTCTCTTTTCAGGATTTTGGGCATACACACACACACACACACACACACACACACACACACACCCCTGACATGTTTTTCGACCCAGAGGATCTGGGACTTGAACTGTGAAGTCAGCCCTGTGAGATCCAGCCACCCTAACCTCCATGCCACTGGCTGGACCTGTCTTTTCTTTTTTCTTTTTTTAATGTTCTTGCCATGGGGGGCATAGGCTTGCTGGGGAGAAAGAGAGAAAGTAGAAAAGGAAAGTGAAAAATCACCCCCACAGGGGGAATGCCCACATTGCAATCCCTTGTCCTTCATTCTCCTCTCAGGATCTTGGGCACATACACACATGTGCCCGACGTGATTTTCAAACAACCAGCCAGTGGGATTTCTGTACTTTAACCACTGTGCAACCTACTGGTCCCAGGCCCTGCCATTTTAATAGATAGTTCCTAATTTGCTGTGGCAGTTACAGGTGTGTACTACATAGCATACCCACTTGTGTTTAGGTTTTGATTTTGAAGTATCATGGGTAGGGATTATGGGTTGTGTTAACAGTAAGTCCCAGTGTTACTTGTTAAACCTGAAAAATTAGCTTCCAGAACTACAGCTTTTGACAGCTTAAAGCCAATTCCAGGCTATAGGACTTTTTTCCTATAGGACTCTGCTTTTAAATTTGTCTGCCTATGGGCTAGTTTTTTCCTATAGGACTCTGCTTTTAAATTTGCCTATGGGATATTGGAAATTCCGTTTTTCTTGGAATTCTTTCTCTTTAGGAAAGTCTTGATCAGAGTGTGGTTCAGCTGCTGGGTAAGGTGCCAGTGGTTGGTTAGGCAGCTAAATATGAAACAGAATCTGGTCCATGAAAATTCCTGAGGTCCAGACACAGGCAGTCTCCTAGTAAAGTGGATTGCACTTGGAATCCTCGGTCAGGAGTTCTCGACTGCCTCATTTCCTGTATATTCACCTAGGAATAATTAAGTCAGACTAGGTTTAACCAAAGGTGTTTTCTACCCATGCTTCCTTCCTCCTTAGCAGATGACATCAAGCCATGTCCACGATGCAGTGCTTACATTATCAAGATGAACGACGGGAGCTGTAATCACATGACCTGTGCAGTGTGTGGCTGTGAGTTCTGCTGGCTTTGCATGAAAGAGATCTCAGACTTGCATTACCTCAGGTGAGATGGGAAATGGGTTTGTTGCTTTTATATTCCTGTTTTCTTACTGATTTAGGGGGAATAGGATGTCAAAAGGAGATACAGTTGTCCTCGTAATAAGGAAGCTATATAAAAGTTCTGCAAAGCATTCCTCTGATTATGTTTTTCTTCAGCTCAGCAGTCTCCAAGGCTGACTCTGTTACCTTCTAGGTCATGTCTTACTCTTACCGTGGCTTTTAAAGCTTTCCGCAGTCGGCTTTAATCTCTTTTCCTAGCTTTTTACGTTTTGGCTTTCATACATGCTACATTCTAGATCATCTAGGCTGCTTGTTCCCTGTCTCTTTTTGCTGCCTTGCCTCCATATTCATGGTTTTTCTTTTGCCTGGAATGCTTTGCAGTCACCTCTCCTGGGAAGGTTTTATCTCAGCTTACTTAGTTCTTGCCCATCCTTCAAGAGGCATTTAAATACCAGCTCATCCATGACCCCTTCCTTTTCTCCCCTCATCTTTATTCGCGTTCTTTTGTCTCTTACTACAAATAGCATCACTTGCTCCAGTGGCACAGTTAATGGCACATGGAAGTGTGGCACGAGAGGCCACACAGCACCTGTGGGTTATGGTTCCTGTAGGCTTAAAAATGCACGATGTGGAGACCAGCAGTTAGCGTAATGGCTATGTCGCTGGACTCCGACGTAGTCGACCGCGGTTTGTGTCCTGGACCCAGTGGCTTAAACTCACGCCGGGCACATGTGCATGCATGCCCAAGATCCCGAGAGGTGAATGGAGGAGAAGGGATTGCAGCGTGGCCATCCCCCCAGGGGGGTGATTTCTTGCTTTCTATCTCTCTGTCTCTCTCTCTCTCTGTCTGGCGAGCACACATGCCCTATAGCAAAAAAAAAAAAAAAAAGCACGATGTCTATGTGCCCAAGATCCTGATGAGCCGGAGGGCTGGGGAAATGGGAGAGACCCGTCAGGGTGCCCCTCCCCGCATGTACAAGTAATTGTACATGTAGATGTGTACCTGTCTCCCTCTCCCTCCCTTTCTTCCCTTTTGTGCACCTGTCAAGAATAGAAAGATAAAACAAATAAATAAAAACCATCACTACTGGGGGCCAGCCAGTGGCATGGTGGATAAGGTGCTGGATCCCACATGGCCAATTCCATGGTTCTAGTCTCAGACAGACCTGATGGTTTGAAAATCACTCTGGGTACATTTGCGTGCATGCCCAAAATTCCCAGAGGAGAATGGAGGACAAGGGATTGTGGCATTGCCATTTCTCCAGGGGTGATATCTCACTTTCATTCTCTGTCTCTTCAGCAAGCACACTCACCTTGTGGCAAAAATCTAAAAAAAACCCCAAAAAACAAAATCACTACTGTGTACTGCATGAACTTGCCTAATCATACTGTTTGCAGACACGTGCTGTGTAATGTTTTAGTCCAGACAGATGGCATTTGCAGTGGCAGAGCAATAGGCTATGCCATATAGCCCAGTTGTTTAACATACTACAGTGTCCAGTTTGTGTAAGTACACTGTGACGCTCACACAGTGACAAACTCCCTATGGATGCATTTCCAGAGTGTAGCCCTTTCATCAAGCAACATATGACTGTGTAAGTTTCTTTTTATAATTTGCCAGAGGACACGCATGCTCGCCAGAGATACAAAGATATAAAGAAAGACATCCCCCATGGGGAATGGTCACATCACAATCCCTTCTCCTCCACGTCTCCATCTTTCTGGAATTTTGAGCATGCACTCACATGTGCCCAGTGTGTTTCTCAAGTCACTGGGTTTGGGACTCGAACCGCATGGTCACCCATGTGGGATCGCGCTTCCTTAACCACTAGGACGTGGGGCCAGCCAGTGTAAGTTTCTTGAGGCAGAAATTACAGCCTTTTTCACAGTTTCTTACATATGAGTTTCTCAATTCATTGAGTGAATATTAAAGTATTTGCCTGGAGCCAGCCGGCAGGTGGTGTGGTGATTGAGGTGTGAACTCCCACGTGGCTGACCATAATTCAAGCCCTCGATTTGGAGACTTGCTTTCTCACTTTCCCTTTATCTCTCTCTGGTAAAAAAAAATAAATAAAATAACTTAGTAATAAGTAAAATTAAATAAATAATTCTTTAAAAAGATATTTGCCCTGGAGGAGTTAGTATTTATAAATTTAGCATTTATTGTGTAGGTGAAATATCCAAGTTAGCAAACAGTTGAGTACTTGCTGTGTCCCAGACACAGGGTTCAATAAGACACTCTCCTTTTCAGAATCGCTTGTCCCATCTAGTAGAGAGGACAGCACAAAAAGGGAATGAACCAAAATGGCTGGACAGAATCGCTCAGTGTGAAGTAGCCAAACACAGAGTACTGAATGGACATAAGGGGCGTGATGCCGGTTGGCCTGTCCTTTCCCAGGAAAGGACAGTATCTGTTAGGTGTGCTGGGAAGTGCACGAGTCAGAGCGCCCTCGGTTGCGGGCGGTGCATGTAGACCAGATGTCAAGTGCATGTTCCATGCAGGGCCCCAGGTCGGGAGCTGGGTCTGTGCATGTGGGCTAGGGAGGACAGCAGAGTGGGAAAGAAAAGGGGTTTCAAGTCTGGAAGCCTGCCTATACAAAAAGTAAAAACGGGAAGAGCTGAGAGCGCTAATGGTCTGGCCTTGTCCTTTGCTCTTCCTTATGTAATGCATTCATTTCCTGTAATCCCTTGTACTGTTAGTCACTTCTGTTGAAAAGAAAGGCTGTTGCTCTTATCAGGGCCTCTGATGACAGTAGCTGGGTTTCCAGTGTTGACACGAATGTCCTCATGTTTCCTCTGCAGCCCCTCTGGATGTACATTCTGGGGCAAGAAGCCATGGAGCCGTAAGAAGAAAATTCTTTGGCAGCTGGGCACACTGATTGGTGCACCTGTGGGGATTTCGCTCATTGCTGGCATTGCCATTCCCGCCATGGTCATCGGTATTCCTGTCTATGTTGGAAGGAAGGTAAGATACACTGGGCTTTGTGCACGTTCCAGCGGCAGGTTTGTTGGTAAAGGTTTGAGGGAAACGAGAAGAAGTTTATATTTTAGAGCAGCCTGAAAACCAGCTGGTTCTTGGATAAAAATAACTTTTAATTTATTAAATGGATTTTCATTAGGCCTCATGAGATCTGAAGGTTCTTATTAACATCTTGGACCTGGATTGTCTCAGTGACTTAAAGGTGAAATGCTTAGTTCATTCTCCTGTGTTATCTTGTAGATTAACTCTTTCTGCATTAGTTTATATCTTCCAGGTCTGAGTTAGGTTAACATTTGAGAAAGATGCCTCTTTGGAGTGGAGGGTGTTTTAAGATAGATAACTTACAAGTACATGTTCACATCTCCCCCTCCCAGCTGACTGGTGTTCTGACCTGCTGACCTGGATTTTCTTTTCTGTTCTTAGATCCACAGCAGGTATGAGGGGAGGAAAACCTCCAAACACAAGAGAAATTTGGCTATCACCGGTGGAGTGACCTTGTCGGTCATCGCGTCCCCAGTTATCGCTGCAGTTAGTGTTGGTAAGCTAGCCAGGACCACAGCAACTCTCTGCTTTCTGACCATGGACTTTTTAACCAGATGTCTCGCCTCGGAAACGCCCGCCTTTCATGCCAAACCCGCCTTGGTAGTTGGGTTTGTTCTGCACCATTATTGTGATTTATTTTTTTCAGCGATGTGAAATGATCAGCATGGACTCTTTTATTCTTGTTATTTATTTATTTTTAATTTGCCAGAGCGTATGTGTACTTGCCAGAGAGAGACAGAGCAGAGGAGGAAGCACTTCCCGCACCACAGTCCCTCCTCCATTTCGCTGTCCTATCAGGACTTCTAGCTACATGCACACATGAGCTCAGCATGTTTTTCAGGCCACCAGGACTTAAAATGCACGATGGGCCACGCGATCTAACTCCCTTAATCCCTAGGCCCTGGGCTGGCCCAGCACCTTTTATTCTTAAGTTAGTACTCAGAACTTAGTCTGTCACAGAGAGAAGGTTGAATTAAATAAAAATGACTTTTAGCCTGTTTTTCATCTTTAATCTTCCTCCTCTGCTTGCCATGGATCCTACAAAACATATTAGTTTTATTTTGATTTTTTTAATGCTTCATAATATTTTGGAAGGTATGAGGGTTTTAGAATAATAATAATTTAACTAACATTTACTGAACTCTGTGTGCCAGGAGTGGTTCTGACCAGTTCACATATATAAATTCATTTAATACAGCAGAAGACAACACAATTGTAACAGAAAAGTGCAATGATTTTCAAAATCAGTTATTTGGAACATGAGTTAAGGAATGAGCCTGACTTCAGATCCTGTGCTTTTAACAACTAAGCCATTGTAACCCCACACAGCAGTAAGATTGTGGAGTTAACTCTGTGGGAGGACCCCAAACCCTGGTAATCACTTATTTAATGTTTAAGTTTTGATTGGTTCTTGGGTTAGCACTTCAGCAGTGAGTAAAAGGAAAAATGAAAGCAGCACTTATTTCTTACGATGAGTACTAGGCATACATCCTCGTTTGATCATTGACAGCCCTGGGAAGGGAAGTCCTAGGTCACACAGTTAGTAAATGGGAATCCGGATTGTTTTTTTTGTTGTTGTTTTGTTTTGTTTTTTGAAAGGTTTTTGCTATAGGACGCGTGCGCTTGCCAGCCAGACAGAGAGAGACAGAAAGCGAGAAATCACCCCCAGAGGGGATGGCCACGCCGCAATCCCTTCTTCTCCATTCTCCTCTTGGGATTCTGGGCATGCATGCACGTGCGTGCCCAGTGTGAGTTTAAGCCACCAGGTCTGGGACTCAAACCGTGGTCAACTACGTGGGAGTCCAACAACAAAGCCATTATGCTAACTGCTGGTCCCGGGAACCCGGATTCTAATACAGGCTTTTCTGATTGCAAGTCTGGTCATCGTTCTGTTACAGCAGAAACCCTCTCTGCAGTAGCCATCTTCTCTGGCCCTGATGGGTGGCTCTTCTGCACCCAGGCGGGAAGGAGGATAGGGTAGTTGTCAGCTCTGCGGCCTGCTGACGTGCTCCCTTCTCTCCCTAGGGATCGGCGTCCCCATTATGCTGGCATATGTCTATGGGGTGGTGCCCATTTCTCTCTGTCGTGGAGGTGGCTGTGGAGTTAGCACAGCCAATGGAAAGGGAGTGAAAATTGAGTTTGATGAAGATGATGGTCCAATCACAGGTAAAAGAAAAAATTTTATTTCTATTTGAATTTAGGAAACACAAGATAAAAATCAATAAAATTGAGCACATTTTGTAGATAGGTTATCCTTGGATTACTTTAGATAAGCTTTGTAGGGGGTAAAGTATTCTAGCTTTCCATTTATTTTATTTTATTTTGTTTTTTTTTGAGAGGTTTTTGCTATAGGGTGCATACGCTCGCCAGGACAGAGAGAGACAGAGAGGCAGAAAGTGAGAAATCACCTCCCAGGGGGGATGGCCACGTCACAGTCCCTTCTCCTCCATTCTCCTCTCGGGATCTTAGGCATGCGCACACACGCGCCCAGCCTGAGTTTAAGCCACCAGGTCTGGACTCGAACCGCGGTCGACTACGTGGGAGTCCAGCAGCATAGCCATTATGCCAACTGCTCTTCCCTCTAGCTTTTCATTTCTTTGTTCCAAAGCTAATAGATTAATTCTGGTACTTGCCTCTGTGTGGCAGGTACAAACTAGTAGGATTCCATGTATCTTCAAGAATGCTAGTAGTTGTAAGACTATACTTTCAGGGATCATTTCTATAGTTCGTTACTAGAGAAGTTTCTCTGATCGCGTAGAGCACCGGAAAAAAAAAAAAAGAATGCTAGTAGTCGTAGTGATTATAAAATAAAGGCTTACACTTGCACAATACTTTATAATTTTCAGAGGACTTTCCACAGTGATTATCTCACTTGCTTTTTACAACAGTTCTCAGAAGAGGAAGGGCAGGGGCTATTATTATCTCACTGTAAATGGGAAGTTCTTTAAGCAGGGCCACGGCACATTCTTCTTTCCTCCACTCTGCTGTCAGGATTTGGGGCTCACACGCATATGCTCCTCATGTGTTTTTTAAGCTGCTGGGTCTGGGACTCAGACTGTGGAGTCGGCTATGTGGAATCCAGTGTCTTGACCTCCACGCCACCTAGCCGGCCCCCACAAAGGTTTTCTAGGCATCCTACTAGAAGCTTTCACCAGAATCAGTACAATACCTAACATATTTTTAAATCTTCGTGTTTGATTAAATGGCAGTTACAATGTACTGGAAAGGATAGTAGACTTGGAATCACAATTGTGGTTTTGTCTGACTAACCATGACCTTAGACAAGTCATTCAGCTTAAAAATCTAAAATTACTGCTTAGTTATTGGGAGGATTAACTGTGAACACATGCTGAAACCTGATGTGTGGGGGCTGTACCTAGTTGCTGTTATGAAGTGTTTGCCTTTGTACTTTTCTACATGAAAATTCTCCATTCTAAAGAGTCATTGCAGGAAAATGCCTACCAGACTATTTGATGCTGTGCAATCTTGAATTGAGCTGTGTGGTTCCATCCCCAGTGGCAGATGCCTGGCGAGCCCTCAAGAACCCCAGCATCGGGGAGAGCAGCATCGAAGGCCTGACTAGTGTACTAAGCACCAGCGGAAGCCCTACCGACGGACTCAGCGTTATGCAAGGCCCGTACAGCGAGACGGCCAGCTTCGCAGCCCTCTCGGGGGGCACACTGAGCGGTGGCATTCTGTCCAGTGGCAAGGGAAAATACAGCAGGTAATCAAATAAATCCTTTCTGACAGAAGCAGTTGAAATTAAAAGTAATATATTAAGCCATTTCTCTGTGCCTGGCTTGTCTCATATATCATCTCATTTTGATTTAATCATTTCCCCCAAATAAGAAACAGGCTTAGAAAGGTTATGGAAAGTTCAGTGCTCTTTCTACTCCACATAAAGAATAATCTTGGGGGACCAGCAGATGGCGTAATGGTTACATTGTTGGACTGTCACTTTGTCGTCTGTGGTTTGAGTCCTGGATCCGGCAGCTTAAATGTTGGGCGTGTGTGCTCAAAATCCTAAGAGAAGAATGGAGAAGTGATTACAGCATGGCCATCTCCCCTGGGGGATGATTTCTTGCTTTCTATCTCACTGTCTATCTCTGTCTCTTCAGTGAGCACATGCGCCCTATAGTAAAAATCTCAAAAAAAGAAAAGAGAAAAATACTCTCGGGCTGGCCCGTAGTGCTGTGATCGAATGCTACATGGAGGAAGCCAGATCCCACATGGCTGGCGTGGGTTTGAGTCCTGGTGCTGGCAGCTTGAATAAGTGCTAGAAATGCATGTGTGCCCAGGATCCTGATGGGATGTGGACTGCAGCGTGAACAGCCCCTCTGGGGATTCTCGCTCTCCCTCTGGCATAAAAAATAAATAAATAAAAGAATAATCTTTTTTTTCTTTGTTTAAATTTTGCCAGAGGACATGTGTGCTCACAGGAGAGAGATGGGGAGGGAAAGTAAGAAAGCACCCCACAGGGGATGGTCATATCAAAATCCCTTCTCCATTTCTTCTTTCAGGATTTTGGATATGCACGTACGTGCACTGGGTCTGATTTTCAAGCCCCCAGGTCCAGGACTCAAACTGTGCAGCTAGCCATATGGGATCCAGCCACCTTAACCGTCACACCACTGGCTGGCTCTAAAAGGATAGTCTTGACCCCAGATCTTGTTTCCTGTTTCAGGCTGCATACTTCAGGAAGGGAGAGCAGGCATTTTCATAGCACTCCCAAGGCTGTGCCCTCCATTAGGCTTGTCTCTGGTTTGTGGTTCAACTACACTCATGGTGTGTCCTGTTGGTAGCGTGGTCCTTATTGCCTTCCTCGTCCCAAGCGTCTGGGAACCTGTGAGGAGACTACATAAAGCTGTATTACTAAAAAGATTATGACTTGAGGGACCAGCAGTTGTCAGAATGGCTATGTCACTGGACTTCCATGTGGTCGACCGCGGTTCAAGTCCCAGACCCTGTGGCTTAAACTCACGCCAGGCATGTGTGCATGCATGCCCAACATCCCAAGAGGAGAATGGAGGAAAAGGGATTGTGGCGTGGCCGCCCCCCCGGGGGGTGACTTCTCGCTTTCTCTCTGTCTCTCTCTTTCTGGCGAGCACATGTGTCCTATAGCAAAACCTCTCCAAAAAATAAGAAATATTTTATCCAACTTTATTTATTTATTCATTTATTTACTTATTTCAATTTGACTAGAGAGGGACAGAGTGAGAGAGAGAGAAAGAGAAAGTAAGAAAGTAAGCTGCCAGGTCCAGCATCCAAACTGCAGTCGGCCATGTGGGAGTCCAGTGCCCTTAACCACTACGCCACCTGCCAGCCCCAAGACTAGCTCTTATTACCAGAAAAAAGAATTATCAAGAAAGTCAGCAGTTGGGACCAGCAGTTGGTGTAATGGCTACAAGGGTGGA